TTCGGGACATCACAGTCCCTAGATAACGCATTCGAAAACGGTGTCCATGGTGTCTGAATAAATTGCTGAAACACATACACATAATATTTCTGACAACAGCCCCTTTCATTAAATTTTTTTCTCTCTGCCCAAATATCTATCATGTGATTGTGATGAACCCTGATTCAGTGGCAGGTAAAAATAGCAGAACGATTCTGATTACTCTGTGTAACATAATTTGCAATTGCATCCATGTTTATCTCTGAAAATGTATTAATGAAATGTCATGGAAAAGTTGTACCATTATTTGATCTGTTCCTTATAGAGAACAGCTTCTCGCATCGTCGAGGAATATACAATTTATTTATTTATTTATTTTTGGAGCGTTTAATGCGATCATGCACCTCAAATGCAACATGTTGTATTAGATTCCCAACGGATCGAAGGTGTTCGATTGTTGGTGTATCTGGAGTATTAAAAAGATACTTAAGCGAGTTAAATTGCTCTAGCACTTGGTACAGAGATTCAAACCTTTCCTTCAAATCCTTCAGCTGCAGTTCTAGCGCAGCAATCGTTTCAATCGCTTTAGTGGGCGATTCTGCAGTAACTGCGCTGTGCTCTATCAGAGAAACCTTATGAGAACTATCATTTGATTGCTTTTTTACTCTTACGCGCAATTTCGGTTTTATTGTCATCTTAGATGATGAGCCTTTAATTTTTTCCGTGCTGACGGACTGGTTACAAGCAGGATGTTTTGCCAGCATTTCAATGGCTTCCAGTCTCTTCTTTGAGTTTCTTGTTTTAACTGAGGTAACGAGCATTTTTACGGATTGGTCACTCGGTTTTAGGGCTTGTGAAAACTATTTTATGTGGACAAGGATAAGAAAATAGGGGACAAATTTCACCTTTTTTGTTTCAGTGATCAAGAGGAATCAGTTATCGACAAACCGCCGAGGAAACAGACTAGGATTTTAGGGTTTATACGACCTATCTAAAGTGCACGAGAATTCACACAGGTCCAAACAGGCCACGGTTACAGATGCAATGATCAATACAAACCAACCGGTTGTAAAATCGCTCAGTTGTCCAAATTCCGCCGAGGGTAGATTGTCCTTCAATAATCGACCGCTCCGTGCACAGGTAGCCCTGAAGTCAATTCCGTGGCGCGCCGCGTCACGTTATACCGCGAGTTCCAACAGGCGCACACGCACAAATCCGGCCAAACAAAGAGATTTGCATGCGTTCGATAGAGTGCAATTCACAATGCGGCGTGAGAGCTCTTGGTCAACCAAGGTGGTGTATGAAGTTATACTTGTTTCTAGTTGCCTTGTGCAGCTACCAACAGGGTTGGTTTAGGTCTCTTGAAGTAGACCTAGCAATAAGCTTTCCGATAAATCCAAAAACCTTGATGAAGGCAGAAAATTGGTGCACTTGTAGGCAAACGACCGTGCTGAAACTGCCAAAATTGAAAACCAGCTTTTGACGTTGATCCGTTTATAGCACCGTCAAGAAAGTTTGCGCAATGGGTAGACCTGATCGAGCCCGATTGAATGAATGTACCCAGGCCGATGTGCGAAGAAATTTGAATCCGAAAACTTGAAAAGACAGGAGCAACGAAATAATTCCGACCAGCTCGGCGAGTGACAGGATACATCATCAGAGGAGCACATTGCGCGTCTGGTCGATCGCCTGAATAACGTGCACACGAATCTGAAAGTAACCAGCGAAACAGAGAAAAGCAACTGCCTCCCATATCTGGACGTGTTGATTTGCCGAGGAGCAGATGGGTCCATCAAAAGAGAGGTTTACCGAAAACCGACTTGGTCAGGGCAGTACCTGCACTTTACCAGCTTCTCCCCAATGCGGTACAAGTGGACCTTAGTCAAGACGCTATTCAACCGTGCAAGGAAAATTTGCACTGTCGACAGTTTTAATGATGAGATAAACTCGCTCAAGGATACGCTGCTGAAAAATGGCCATCCAAGTAGATTCATCGACAAACATAGTCAGGCGAGGGTGCCGGGACAGAAGGTTTCGACAGTATCTATAAAGAAGATTTACATCGAGCTACCATTTAAGGGAGATTTTGCCAATATGAGGACAATGAAGCGCATAACTTCCGCAGTCCAGAGGACTTATTATGCTGCCGAAACTGTCCTTATGAACCGGACTAATCGAATGCCTGTTACCCCAATGACGGTAACACAACCTATTGGCGCCAACTCACATTGTATTTACCAGCTTACTTGTAGCTGTGGTATACACTACATAGGCCGTACCAATAGATCGTTGAACTCCAGAATAAGGGAACATGTACCTAAATGGTTGCAGCATCAAATCACCCAGTCGTCGGTTGCTCATACAATCTGTTCACGTAAACCACCTGCTTCATCCATAGGTAGGCATTTACTGACCACCTGTCACCAGTTTGATCTGGCCAAAATGTTTACAATCGTGTTAAAACATGCTAACGCCCGTTTCCTACGTTTTGCAGAGGCAGTCGCGATCAGCCGTATCAAACCCGCACTCTGTGTGCAGAAACAGCTTTTCGTAAGCCTACGGCTGCCCTGGGCGTAGGGGTGTCACGCCTGCCCCTCTACCCTGTTCTAACTTGTTCCGGTCTCACCCTACCTGTCGTCTTATATATTTTCATGTTATTGTGTTGGCTCTGAAGAGATATACCTTTGTTCACTAGAGTGACAGAGAGCAGAAGGAAAAATTCCGTGTCAGCTCTTTCGCTTCCCGTTCAAAGCAGGGATTGCGCGGATCATTGCGATACGCCGTTCATGGGGCACTGTCACGATCGCAGCGAAAACAACACCAGCTTTGCTTGCTTAGCTGATAAGGTTCCAACAGTCGTTTGAATGTTTCTTCACTCAGTTTGCTCAAGACTGGCTCAAGTAAATTGCTCTAGTCCATCACCACACGGGTGGACAAAGTGACATCGTGATGCGCTTGGAGCCTCCTCGAGTTAAACATTCTCCAGAAGAGACCCCTTGTCGAACTATCAAATCTTAATTGAAAAAGCTGCTTTAGTTCATTCCCCATCATCCCTCACAAAATGCGTCTGGTGAAAATCAGGTCACCACGACGACGACGATAACCGAAGGAAATCATGTTCATCGTTCAAAGTCGCTGATCGTATGACAAATTGCAGAACGCAGATATCAATTTCGACACTCCTCGTTAGAGCATCTCTATTAGAACACGTTCGATCTTTGTAAGAGGATAGGCCGCGGGTGAGTCGTAGTTAAGGATGGAGCGTACATGGGAAGTGAAGAGGAGTCTGAAGACCTCAGGCGTCATACGGAAGATCTCCTTATGACACAGAACATCCAATTAACAGCCGCTACCCTCCTCATGATATTCTGGGTTGTGTGTAAATCAAGGAACACTAGTACACCAAGATCCATCTCACAAGCGGCGTCCCTGAGGTAGAAGCCACCGAGGTGATAAGCACCAAACTGGTACAGAGCACCGATAGGGAGGACTGACCACTTTTCGTAATGGATGGGCTATTACCACCTCGGTGACCAGCTGTGCAGGCGGTTAAGGGTCTCTTGCAATCGGTCAACATCCTCGAGCTCGGACATTTCTAGCCATAGTTTTAAGTCGTCAGCATATAGCAAATAATCCTTACAGAGCTCTGATGGAAGATCGTTGATGAATAGTTTGAACAATTCAGGTTCGAAGACGGAGCTTTGTGGAACTCCACTATATATGAGAACGGGCTCGGAATAAGTCTTATTCACCTTCACTCGCTTACTACAGCTTTTCAAAAAATCGGTGTTCAAAGAGAGAATCTCCCAGAATCCCATTTGTGGTAATGTGGATAATGTGACAAGTCCACAGATGCGCTTTTTCACTTTTTTCGCAACAGTTCTAACTAATGTTATTCCCGCAAACCATCCCTTACGGGACTTGTCAAGCCTTGGCTTTTTTATTCATATTACACCATTTTTCATTGAATGATCATCATGCAGCCCCATGTATAACATTTCAATCGGATTCGTTCTGCAACCGCCATCGTCTGCACTTTTAGGACACCTTTTTACCTTTTTCCACATAACCTTGAGAGAATATTACCCTTAGTCAGCTGACATTTTCACCAGCTGCAGCGACCATCTTGCAAAAATCCAGGCAATACACAATCGATCCCACCGTTTGCGTTTCTCTTCGGGATCCACCTTGAATAACTGACAACTAAGGTGCACCAACATCAGCAGCGTACCTTCCCAGGCTTTCTTCTGTCCTTCCCTAAATATTACGTGGGAGCATTGAAATACAACGATGGGAATACATGCTCTCACTTCGTTTTGGCATCCGAGAACGGCAGAGCATTAATCCCAGAAGCCGCACATAAGCAGCGCTCCTATGCACTGAACACGGACTTTGATGCATGGGATGTTGTGAAAAGCATCTGATGGCTCTGAACTTAGTGTAATGATGACAGATCATAGTCCCTTCAGGATGCCTCTATTTGTTGACAGGAACGTGTCTTGCAACGACTTATGAATCAGAGTTTGCGAGCTGCTTTTCATACTCGATACCTTTGTAAAACGGCTATACTTTGATCTACTTTCACCGGTGTTAACCTATTGCGCAGAAGCAGCTCACTTATTGAAACGTGTACCTTCGTTGTCTGCTAAGTATGTACTTGACGATCAGGGAGAAAATCGCATTTGACCCACTACTGATTTTATAAAGCAGTGAGAGAAAGAAGTTGGGTTAAACTTCAAACACGATTTATGGAAACTTTTGCATTGTCCAAGTCTTTCAAAGTTTGGCGGCAAAATAAGTAGTTTGCAACATGGTATTCACGAAGTCCTCAAGGCTCACGCATCCGTCTTGATTAACATCTGCCTTAGCAATCATATCACATAATTGCTTTTTGGATAAGTTGGTCCCCAATCGCTCGTTCATTTCTACCAAACCTTCCAGTGTGATTTACCCGTGTTATCTGATCGCAAATGGATTTGATTATTGGTTATCATAACTTGGATCGAGTGATCTGAACTTACCTAAATCAAATTCTTTAAAACCCTGTAATATCTCGGCTATCACATCCTCCCCCGATTTCTGTAGCACCATAACTAGTTCCAAGAATTCACACAATGTGAACCTGCAAGCAGTAAGGTGAGCTCGTGAAAATTACCTTTTGTCGTTATCTTGAGATCCAAAGTAGATCTCTAGTTTGCTGTTACTGTTAGTAAATCCCAGTGCTCTCATTGCCATGCGCAATTCCCGTTCCGATAGTAAACTACATTTTAGAGTATGTAAACTAATTAAGTCAATTACTCATCATTGTCTCTGTCCATAGTTTGGAATAGGAAATTGAGCTCGTGAATTTCCTGCGGATCTAACGCTCGTCTTATGTTATTTGGAATGTATGCGTTGTTGCAACATTTCTGCTCGATCAGGGCCATTCTGTTTCGCTGATGGAACCAACGAAATTTATCAGTATCATCAAGGTACCAATTCTGATGCAAATTGCATATTTTGTACTTCCGAATTCTTTCTTTGAAATGCACACGGACCTTTAACACGGCGTGTTCTCATGCTTTTCTGTGGCAAGTAAAGACAACAGGTTCGTTGCGAAAATGGCGGATGTGATTATCGTGGAGAGCACTTAAACGAATAACGACTGATAAGTATCGAAGTTCGAACAACTAAACAGTGAGGATATTTGTACGCAAGGCAAGTTGTCACAGATTTACTGGCGAGAGAAAAAAGTGCCGGTGTCAAATGTGTTCCATGTCGGAACCGGATGAAGGACTGCAGTGCCTATTCTCTGTACCTACAACAGCAGTCCAAAAGATGAGCTCATAAGGTGTTGGCTCATTTGCCTTTTGGTCACATTGGTGCATGGCCAGATGGGGCATGAAAAGGCACATGAAATTTTGCATCGACTGTTCCGCATGGAAGCAGATTCGCAAGAGATGGTTTAGAGGATGTAGCTATTAGGTTACTTTATCGTCCTTCGGCTCGCGCATTCATTTAACTGATTTAATACTGAGAAAATTGCTTTGTGAACAGCCTTGAAAATTTCGCCCAAATTTGTATTATATCTTTTTCCGTTGTACAAAGTGATCACAGCAACCAGTCGGAATGGATCTCTCAGTATCCAAAAATACAATAGTTGGCCATGCGTACACAAGTTGGTATTCAGAAGTGCAACGTCCAGGTTCTCTTCCAGCGTTCAAATGTTCCATGCGAGAGTTAAATATGCTCAATGACAAGCCATCTTCTTTACGGTCGCTTTGGTTAAGATATCTTTAACATCCGCTTTGTTTACCTTTTCAATATTGCGCCAATATCATTAGATTAAACGAAACACGTGGCAGCATCACCCTTGTTGTTGAACCATTTATATGACTTAGGTGACTAGCCCTGAAGCGCAGAGGCATTGATCCACATTACACATGAGGCGCGATATTTAACTAAGGACGAAGCGATATGTTTTGGAATTACTTGCGTTATTTTGATAATTGATCCTTTTCTTGCGTTTGCGCTCTTATTATCCTGACTCACTAACGATAATAGGTGTCTAAAATAGTGCTACCTCCTTCAGCATGCGATATCGATTGCCAAAACAGGGTAATTAATTTGTTAAGCTGCTTAACAGGAAATAAAACAGAACTCAAAAGTCCTAACTACTAAGGTTCCGCAGTATGTTCAAATATTCAAAGCAGGATGATATAGCGGATATTTTCTGCGCGGCTCGATTTCAGCGATGCATTCGTTGATCAGCACCTCCATTGATTGGGCATTTCATGGAGAGATAAATGGGGGGTGGAATAAATCGTACAGCGTTGGGGTTTTACAGTAGAAACTTTCAAATATACCATGGGGATGTGCCAACGGCTGTGCAAGAATTGTGAAAACCATCGAAGAGTTCTGGAATCTACGGTCCAAAATTGGTTTCTGGCATGCATTGAAGGAAATAATTACAATTTACGAAGGAATATAATTAGATGACGCTAACCACTGAAACCTTGTTGGGTGTTTAGGCATCACAAGCTGTACTTTGCAACCGGTTTAGACCGTGTTTTGACTATTCACACAAATATAATCGCATAGGGGATTAGAATTCCTGTGTCTGCAACTTCACGCCAGAAGCATGCAATAAAAGGTTACCCAGCTTCTCAGGAATGCTGACTATTGTTTGCAGTCCAACTGCTCAGAAATCCCATATGTAGTGGGCAACTAACACATAATCAGGTTGATGCATCTCTATTTGTCACGGTGCACATTTGGCTAGCTATCGTTTGGCGCTAAGGTGGAAAATTTTCACAGGCTCCTCAATCGTGCTGTTCGCATTTCGCCTTACTTGCACCGGTACTCTTCCATTGCTTCCTCATGCAGTTGAAATTTCGTCTATGAAATCTGACGTATTAGTTCATTTGACCTAGGTGTTTATACTGCATGAGTTTAGTGTTTGGGTTTCGTTAGTCAAACCATTTAGACACCGGTACGGAGCAGGAACTATTCTGTTGGCTGCCTCAGCTTGATAGGTAATACTTTTACAAGCGTGTATCAATTCCGACGTAGCAATGTACTGTACTATCCATGCGACTAACAGCGGAATAATTATGACGATTCGGTCAACTCATATCCTTCAGTTACTTCCTTTGCTACCTTCTTTCTCACTGTCATTTCACTCACCTATACTTGACAGGGAGTCACGGGGTAGTAGTGGAGAGCGCGAACCCGTTCTACGAAGGACCGGGCGCTCCGGAGGATAATGCGGAATTTTTGTTAAGCTACTGTCCACTGACCAATTTTTGAATGAACGATTGCAGTACATTTTGGTTACCCTGTTATTTGGATTTGTTCCCAACCTAGAATCTTAGTCTAGTACAGGTTACCCATTGAAGGTACTACAGTAACCGGTTTAGCAGTCTTGAACAAAGTCTGTCTGAGCCTATGCCCGTAACGGAACTTCTCAGCAGAAGTTTCAATGCCCCTAGGGGACAAAATGCAGTGTATCATGAAACTACTAAAAATCTGCTGGCCGATTTGCAATCGGAGTAAATTTAGTAACCTTATCTTAAATTACCATACTTTAGCACAATGAGGTTAAATGGCTTCTTAACTATGCACTTTAATGTTTCTCGGCCCAGTATGTAAATGTAAAATGGGTAAATTATGTATCTGCCACGAAACTAGCCATTATTTTCACTTACGTGCAGACTAATACCGTAATTATGATGGCGGCATTTGAGGTCAGCTGCTATGACAACAGACTCGGCAGGGCGAACCAATAGAGTGATATCTAAATCAATGGCTTTTTAAAAGACCTTAGAACTCGTATGCAACTTCTAAATCCGCGCATCGATTAAATTTTGAAAAATACCCTAGTTGAGAAAACGGTCTTGATGGAAGTGTAGATTACTTACTCGTTTTGTATGACAATAAATCTTGTGGATTATGATGCGTTTATGTCACGACTGCCTCCTAACAGTTGACCACTGGTTGATTGATATGAGCAGACGTAAGGGCATAGAAGCGATGATATTTATAAGCGAGGCTAAAGTCTTGTTTGAACGTAAGTAGTGCCTACTATGTTTGCCTTCATAATGGCACTCATATTTGTAAGGCGAATACATTTGTTATTTTGATCCGTAGACATCTTGTTTTCTGTTGACAGGGCGTGTTGTGGCCTCAGGAACATAGGTGGACCATAATCACTAACAACCCTCGTGCTCAATACTGATGCTCGAAACTGATAATGTCGTATGTCACTATTGACATTTTGCATACGTGAACCCGTGGCCGAGCTAGGTGGTGGTTGGGACATCCGCCAATAACAAATTGATGGTTACATGTTATCTACTGATTGGTAATTTCAGTAGTCGGCCGATGTAAGCAATGAATTTGTACGCCGTTAGAAAGAAGACGCGTATAGGTATAGATACAATACCTGTGGAGGGAGTAACACGATGCCCATGAAAGCTTGAATGCGACGGTTAGCTGCTTTTGCACACAAGCGGTTGCGACTACTTGCCGCGTCCTTAGCGAATTGGAGTATTCTGGCGTTCTTATTGCATTCTTATTGCGTCATGTCAGGATCTACCTGATGACTCATAATCAGAAGGCGTTTAGCAATCGTTAGGCTGGTATTTAGGAGTCCGACACTCCTTCAGTGTTTGTTCTATTAAACTGGTAGAAACTCGCAGAGCTAAGATACCCCTTAGACTGATACTCTTCATAGTCAATTCCCGTACCATAAACTGACTCGTTCTTTGGAATACTTGCACCCGTGAGGTAGGTGGTCGTGAGACACATTTTGAACTACAGCTTCGAATCGACAGAACATACGCAAAGAATAAACAAGAACGGTAAGTTAACGTGTTTCCTGGATTTTTAGTTACTTTTAACCAATGTCCCATTAAGCGAGCCATGTGATTTTCTGACGAAGAAGATAGACTTACCGAGGGTGAATTTTAGCCCTACACACAGACGGCTTTGCTATGGAAAGTCCAGTCGGCCATACGCTAACAGATATCTGCATGAAGATGACCGACTCATACTATGAACCGCACCTAGATTAGATGTGCATGCAAAAGCGATACGTTGATGTGATGTTAGGGGTCTCGCCAATGCTGCCCATCTCTTCTCGAGATCATACGCGAGGAACGTCCGCATGCCTATTTCACGGGTGAGCTAGAAAACGGCTGCTTCGTCTTTTTGGATGTCCCATTAGGTAAGAATCGCAGATGGCTCGATACAGCACTCCATCTACTGAAAAGCCACTTGGAAGCGACTATACGAATACAAAGCAACTTCAACGCGGCGCAATAAAATCGTTCACTCATCGAAACTTTGTTTCAAGGAACTCGTCGAATATGCATCCTTGAATGTTTAGAGTCTGAATTTCGATGTACTACACAGCTGTTGCGGACAAATGGCTACCCTGAAGCTCTTATTATACTTCACGACAGACAGATGTATGATAATGAACTGAAGTCCCCTACAGTGTCAAAAATGTCTGTCTGTCACATGCTGACATGCAGGACTATAGCGCCTGACTTATGCGATTTGCTTCCCTCATTCTTAGCTACTGTTCCTTCATAGAAGGCGCCATTCGCGTAGATTATAAGCCGAATTCATTAACAAAATTTAAGTTGCAGTTAGTTTCTGTTTAAAGCACCAGGTACACCGCTGTTGCTATAACACGACTGGAGTGTTGGTAGTCATCTTTCTGTTGATAGAAACGGTAGTTGCTTCTGTTTAATGTCACTGATCATATCCGAGTCAACCCTCGTTCCAGGTGCGTCATATCGCCAATTTACTCTGGGCATAAGACAATAATTCTGCAAGTTGGCGAAGAATATAAAATCTTGTAACAACCATACATGTGAAATTAACTCTGGCGTGTTTTTTTGGCTCTATTCCTAACCCCTTTTTATTTTTGGCCCAATTGTGCTGATCATGCAGACCACGCCTCATCAGGAGTGTTGTAAGCTAACTCACATTATTCATAACTTCCAGCTTGAGACCTATCAACGGTAGCATCCCAACCATATTTTGAGCAATGTCCATGCTGCGTTTTGCTACTTTACTTGCTATCCCACTGTAATTGTAAATGCACATATTGACTCTGTTCGTGGAAGTTCCACCGATTGAAATCGTCCGCTGTTGTGTTATCGTACGTCATGTTAACTTGTAAACGACAATCGTTAGAAGTTGTGCACTATCCTTTTACTCACAATCGCGTCGTTAATTCCGGCGCATTGTTGAGCATTGTGAAATGATTTTGTGAGGCGCATTGCCTGCATTAGTGGATTTTGTGCCGCATAAATAGTAAAAGTGGATTATGTTTCGTACAAAATGGTTGTTTGGACTGTTGCCCTGAGACCGAAATGAATTCCATTTAAAACAGTTAATCCCCTTCAGTCGTTTGAACAACGAAATGAGAAGACGAATATTGGCAGATGCAAGCATTTCTTATTATCTCATCAGTACCAGTACAATAACAGGGAGATCCTGTTATATGTCGACGACAAAATACAGTGGGACTCCCTGTGTCAACTGATGGAGGTTCAAGTTAAACCAGTCAGTATGATGCGTCTCATCCGTCACCCAAACTCCATACACTATGGTGATCCACGTTTACTCCAGGTAACACTACATTCAGCTAATGATGCAGAGGAAGTTCTCTTGTCAGCTACTCGCCTCCGTACCACATCATGCACAGTTCGAATCTTTCCAGATGTTCCTTGGAGCGAACGTCAAAAACGCAAACAAAATCCGGACGACTTCCGTAAACGACAAGACGCCAAATCTGTTCTTGTTCATGGTGTCCCTGAGCTCAAAACCTCAAGCGATCTAGAGGCCAAAGCGCATGACTGGGATGAATGGCGTTTTATTCGCGAACTGCTCTCACTCGAAAACGTTATTGCTACTTCGACATCAAGGTTACCACTCTCACCTAACTACAAAGGATGTGGTCCCCGAGTGATGAAAATATCGTTGCATTTCGAAATGATGGTAGAATATGTGATCAATACATGGCGTAAAATGCTTCAAATGCTACCATCCGAAATACGTATAAACACGATGGGCACTGAAGCACCAACAGGCCATGTCACACTAAGCAAGCAACGCACCAATACAATTCTGCCGCCATGTAGCTCAGACCAGAGACAATGCCAAAACACGCTGCCGGCTGAAGGGGGACAAGTTGGTCACCCACTTGTTGGCGCTGAGAGCTCAATACAACGACCTGAACTGGCCCTAGGGTCTGCAGCATCGGTCCTACAAAAAACTACCGGCAGCCGACCCCACAAGTGTCGGCGTAAACTCCAACCGAAAACCAGAATCTACAAACACTCTTCTAACCACCGATGCCCTCACCTGCTTCTATACTAATGCACAAGGTCTTCTCAGCAAGCTAACCGAACTTCGATTTCGCCAGGTCTCCATGCCCTGGGACCTAGTTATGGTCACCGAAACCTGGCTGAGCACGGAAATCGTGGATGCCGAGATTGCGTTACCTGGCATGAGTTCCTTACGAAAATATCGGCCTAGCAGAGGAGGCGGAGTGCTTTTGTATTATCGATCCGACCTACATGTTAAGATCATTGATGACTCAGAAGCAAACATCAACGATTCTATTTGGTGTCGTATGCACCTGAGAAGTGGCGATGTGTGTTTGCTAGCAATAGTTTACCGTCCTCCAATGTCTACCTTGGAAATGGATCAAGGCCTTGCTGCTGCGATGAAACGAGTATTGACACGTCCACACAGTCACGTTCTTCTGGTAGGGGACTTCAATCTGCACGCACTCGAAGTTCCAGCATCGCCCAGCGAACAGTTCAAGGCTGATTTGCAAGAACTGATTACCGATGTACCACTGTATAACAATGTCACCTCCCCCACTCGTTTCAGAACGGGTGACACCCCTCTGTCTTGGACCTTGTGCTCACCAACGAGGAACTAATGATTGACACCGTTACCATAGCTACACCACTAGGTCGTAGTGATCACGCGACGTTGCACTTTCGTTACATCTGTTATTCGGAGTACGTTAGAGAGAACGACGAGAAAACTTATATGGTTACACATTACGACATCGTGTCTAACCTTGTTCAAGATACCAACTTGTCCTTCCTGACCAAGAATCCGCCCGATGAGGCTTGGATGGTGTTTGTCACTAAATTCACTGAGCTAGTGGCAAATGCATCAGAACGCAAGGCCTTTCGCCCGAAGCAAGTGGATTCGTTCCTAAGAAGCCGTACGAGAAAATCTATGGCCTTAAGGGATTCGGCCTGGCACGCTTACAAAGTTTGCCCAAGTAATCTGACCTGAGGAGACTACACAACTCAACGACACCACTGCGTCAAGTTGATTCGCGAAGACAAACTCCAGCACCAACAGAAATTAGCGGCGCAATTCAGCAAAAATCCAAAGCTGTTGTATAGACATATCAACAAACTCCGTATAGTGCAGCGCGGGATCCCGGTCTTGCGTGCAATAGATGGTCATGCGCAAACTGCACAGGACGCGGCCAACGTGTTTCGTCAACACTTCCTCCATACTTTCCGGAGTGAACCATCCCTTCACCCGATTTTCACAGACCTCTCACCGTTCCCAGGTTTACACAACGTATCGTTCACGGCAACCAATGTGTTGAAAACGCTAATGTCGTTGCGTGTGCACAGCTCGCCAGGCGTAGACGATATTAAACCGAAGGCGTTGAAGGCAGCGGCCCTAAACATTGCCGAACCATTAGCTCGGTTCTTTCAACGTTGTCTTGACGAAATGCTGATTCCCACAATGTGGAAACATGGGCCAGTCACTCCCATTTACAAAAGCGGTAATCGTGCGGAGCCATCGAACTACCGTCCAATCACTCTCCTCCCAGTTTTATCCAAAGTAATGGAAGGTATAATTGCGGAGGCGCTGATGGGATATCTGGAGAACAACAATATCATAGTGCCACAGCAACACGGATTCCGCCGAAATCGATCCTGCACTACAAACTTGCTGCTGGCCAGAGCAAGCTGGACGGAGTCAGCTGATGCTAGATTTGGAGTCGACGTTGTCTACCTGGACTTCTCGAAGGCGTTCGATCGTTTGGACCACCGCATCCTCCTACACAAGCTTCGAGGCTACGGAATCGGTGACCATGTACTTGGTTGGATCGCCAACTTTCTCACTCAACGTCAGCTGAATGTGAGAGTCCGCAGCTCCATGTCCGACCCAATTGACGTCCAGTGCAGTGTGCCCCAAGGGTCAGTACTGGGGCCACGTTTATTTTTAACATTCATTAACGACCTTGCCAGTGTACTACAGTCGAACTTCTTGTTGTTTGCAGATGATGTCAAAATTTGGCATGACATTCGGACAGAGGACGATCACACAACACTGCAGAGCGATCTGGACAGGGCGTACACTTGGTCATCCGAAAACATGCTCCACTTCAATGTCGCCAAGTGCAAAGTCGTAAGCTTACGCCACCAGTTCATCCATGAATACTTACTCGGGGACCAGCCGTTGCAACATGCTTCCCAGGAATGTGACCTCGGAGTGATCGTGCAGGACGACCTTGGCTGCTCCAGACAAGCTGAAAAGGCATCGAAAAGGGCCAGTCAACATCTCGGACTCTTACGGAGGGCTTTCGGAAATTTCAAGCCATCTGTATTTCCGCAAATGCTGAGCGCTTACGTGAGACCCCACGTGGAGTATGAGATCCAGGCCTGGCGCCCCTGGCGCAAGCGCGACATCAGTGCACTTGAAGCTCCACAGCGTAGAGTAACGAAGCTCGTCAGAGGCCTGTTTCACATCCCCTACCAACGCAGACTGCAGTCTCTGGGATTGTACAGTGGTGAATATCGTCGTCACCGAGGAGACCTCATCATGGTCTACTTAATACTGATGAATCCAAATCACCCATGTCGCAGTCTCTTGCAGCTGAGCCAAAATACCAACCTGAGTGGTCATCAGCTCAAACTGGCTACACACTACAGCCGACTTGATTGTCGACGAAACTCTTTCTCATTCCGTGTGTCCCGTGCTTGGAATGCGCTCCCCACTCACGTCGTCCTTGCCCCCACATTGGCACTATTTAAAAAACGCCTAGATGACACACTTTCCAACTTCCATTATTTGGCATAGCACGTCCTATTCGGAGGACGAAATAACGAGACCCAAACCATGAGGTTACTGACCCTCCCCGCAAAGTGGCGGTGATGTTACATACAGAAGTGTCCCAATGAGTGACATGGATGTATACAAACTGGAGTAACGTACCACATCTCTCAACGGAAGCAACACACGAGTGAGCGTTATACTTTCCTTTGATTTCTTTTTCCCACATTTGTTGTAATATAACAGCTCTACTTTGGGTGCAGACATCCAGTCCATACTTCAAACTATCATTATGAAGTGGTGCGTTGAAATCTGTAGAGGCTTAAAAAACGATTTACTTGTTCGATTATCCTTCCATTTTATCTATTGCTCCAACCACCCTACGGGACCTGTCAAGCATATGTTTTTTTACCCGTTATAAATCATTGTTCATTGTTCATGTCTTACAGGGCACAGTCAAGCCAATCAAATTTATGGTTGTGGTCATTGTTGATGGGATTAGGTCCACGGCAACGGCAGGTTGACAACTAATTGCTTTTGGACACACAAAGCTGGTCTAATTCGGCTTATCGCGACGGCCTCGGCAAATCGTAAAAGGCGTGCATTGGTATGACGTGACAAGATCCGGAACGCTGATAAGGAATTAACCAGGTGATGAGTCGCCAAGATGTGCCTGCCTATGGAGGACACTGGCGGCTTACGTGAGCACTTATCATCGGAGGTGGATTGAGTAACTTCGCGCTGAACCCAGTTTGGTAAGTGCTGCTTCACTCTGGAATCTAATTCCATTTAGCCTAACTAGTTTGTTTTAAATCATCACAATACTAAGGCGTCGTTGTCAACAAGTGCTATGTGGTATACATTAACAAGGATGGATGCCTCTTTGGCGGAGCGACCACGTAACCATAATTTACGACCTCCTGTGGCGGTTGAACTGTTCGCTTAGCTTGGCAATTTGGTTGCAAACGTTTCGTCAGCGATTGAGGCGACATCATCAGTGCCTAGTTTGCTAGCGTGCAGTAGCGTACAATAGCGTAGAGGCGCCTCGGTGAGAGTTCGCTGAGTGTGGTGTGCCTGCGTATTATACCGCCATGTTTGCCCGGAGGTACAAAAGAAGCACGCACACCACGCTCAGTGCACTCTCACCGAGGCCCCATTACTCTACTGTACGCCACTCAACTACGCACTGATCATGTCACATTGATTGGTGACGAAATGTTTGCAAACAAATTGCCAAGCTTATCGAACCGTTCAACCGCCATCTGAACAACCTGAGCAATCAGTCATCAATTCTATACCCAGCGACTTCGAGTGTTATGCGGTGTATCAACAAGAACAAAGTAACGCTTTCCGAACAACCAGCCAACACAACATACTGGCAGAAATTTTGGGAGATGGGATCTGGGTGTTTTTAGGCGACAGTTCCACTGCCAGTGAATAGATGGAATTTACTGGCACTTTCAGTGATTTGATTAAATCTGCATCCGTCAACAAACCCCTTCGTTCCAATAGAGGATAAACAATCCTTCGGAGCAGAACCCGAAAACACATGACAGCAACAGACGCAGCGTGGCAAGTGCAGAATGTGCAATCTGCAGGAATGTCGATTATTGTGTGCAGTCCAACTGCTCAGAAATCCCATATGTAGTGGGCAACTAACACATAATCAGGTTGATGCATCTCTATTTGTCACGGTGCACATTTGGCTAGCTATCGTTTGGCGCTAAGGTGGAAAATTTTCACAGGCTCCTCAATCGTGCTGTTCGCATTTCGCCTTACTTGCACCGGTACTCTTCCATTGCTTCCTCATGCAGTTGAAATTTCGTCTATGAAATCTGACGTATTAGTTCATTTGACCTAGGTGTTTATACTGCATGAGTTTAGTGTTTGGGTTTCGTTAGTCAAACCATTTAGACACCGGTACGGAGCAGGAACTATTCTGTTGGCTGCCTCAGCTTGATAGGTAATACTTTTACAAGCGTGTATCAATTCCGACGTAGCAATGTACTGTACTATCCATGCGACTAACAGCGGAATAATTATGACGATTCGGTCAACTCATATCCTTCAGTTACTTCCTTTGCTACCTTCTTTCTCACTGTCACTTCACTCACCTATACTTGACAGGGAGTCACGGGGTAGTAGTGGAGAGCGCGAACCCGTTCTACGAAGGACCGGGCGCTCCGGAGGATAATGCGGAATTTTTGTTAAGCTACTGTCCACTGACCAATTTTTGAATGAACGATTGCAGTACATTTTGGTTACCCTGTTATTTGGATTTGTTCCCAACCTAGAATCTTAGTCTAGTACAGGTTACCCATTGAAGGTACTACAGTAACCGGTTTAGCAGTCTTGAACAAAGTCTGTCTGAGCCTATGCCCGTAACGGAACTTCTCAGCAGAAGTTTCAATGCCCCTAGGGGACAAAATGCAGTGTATCATGAAACTACTAAAAATCTGCTGGCCGATTTGCAATCGGAGTAAATTTAGTAACCTTATCTTAAATTACCATACTTTAGCACAATGAGGTTAAATGGCTTCTTAACTATGCACTTTAATGTTTCTCGGCCCAGTATGTAAATGTAAAATGGGTAAATTATGTATCTGCCACGAAACTAGCCATTATTTTCACTTACGTGCAGACTAATACCGTAATTATGATGGCGGCATTTGAGGTCAGCTGCTATGACAACAGACTCGGCAGGGCGAACCAATAGAGTGATATCTAAATCAATGGCTTTTTAAAAGACCTTAGAACTCGTATGCAACTTCTAAATCCGCGCATCGATTAAATTTTGAAAAATACCCTAGTTGAGAAAACGGTCTTGATGGAAGTGTAGATTACTTACTCGTTTTGTATGACAATAAATCTTGTGGATTATGATGCGTTTATGTCACGACTGCCTCCTAACAGTTGACCACTGGTTGATTGATATGAGCAGACGTAAGGGCATAGAAGCGATGATATTTATAAGCGAGGCTAAAGTCTTGTATGAACGTAAGTAGTGCCTACTATGTTTGCCTTCATAATGGCACTCATATTTGTAAGGCGAATACATTTGTTATTTTGATCCGTAGACATCTTGTTTTCTGTTGACAGGGCGTGTTGTGGCCTCAGGAACATAGGTGGACCATAATCACTAACAACCCTCGTGCTCAATACTGATGCTCGAAACTGATAATGTCGTATGTCACTATTGACATTTTGCATACGTGAACCCGTGGCCGAGCTAGGTGGTGGTTGGGACATCCGCCAATAACAAATTGATGATTACATGTTATCTACTGATTGGTAATTTCAGTAGTCGGCCGATGTAAGCAATGAATTTGTACGCCGTTAGATAGAAGACGCGTATAGGTATAGATACAATACCTGTGGAGGGAGTAACACGATGCCCATGAAAGCTTGAATGCGACGGTTAGCTGCTTTTGCACACAAGCGGTTGCGACTACTTGCCGCGTCCTTAGCGAATTGGAGTATTCTGGCGTTCTTATTGCATTCTTATTGCGTCATGTCAGGATCTACCTGATGACTCATAATCAGAAGGCGTTTAGCAATCGTTAGGCTGGTATTTAGGAGTCCGACACTCCTTCAGTGTTTGTTCTATTAAACTGGTAGAAACTCGCAGAGCTAAGATACCCCTTAGACTGATACTCTTCATAGTCAATTCCCGTACCATAAACTGACTCGTTCTTTGGAATACTTGCACCCGTGAGGTAGGTGGTCGTGAGACACATTTTGAACTACAGCTTCGAATCGACAGAACATACGCAAAGAATAAACAAGAACGGTAAGTTAACGTGTTTCCTGGATTTTTAGTTACTTTTAACCAATGTCCCATTAAGCGAGCCATGTGATTTTCTGACGAAGAAGATAGACTTACCGAGGGTGAATTTTAGCCCTACACACAGACGGCTTTGCTATGGAAAGTCCAGTCGGCCATACGCTAACAGATATCTGCATGAAGATGACCGACTCATACTATGAACCGCACCTAGATTAGATGTGCATGCAAAAGCGATACGTTGATGTGATGTTAGGGGTCTCGCCAATGCTGCCCATCTCTTCTCGAGATCATACGCGAGGAACGTCCGCATGCCTATTTCACGGGTGAGCTAGAAAACGGCTGCTTCGTCTTTTTGGATGTCCCATTAGGTAAGAATCGCAGATGGCTCGATACAGCACTCCATCTACTGAAAAGCCACTTGGAAGCGACTATACGAATACAAAGCAACTTCAACGCGGCGCAATAAAATCGTTCACTCATCGAAACTTTGTTTCAAGGAACTCGTCGAATATGCATCCTTGAATGTTTAGAGACTGAATTTCGATGTACTACACAGCTGTTGCGGACAAATGGCTACCCTGAAGCTCTTATTATACTTCACGACAGACAGATGTATGATAATGAACTGAAGTCCCCTACAGTGTCAAAAATGTCTGTCTGTCACATGCTGACATGCAGGACTATAGCGTCTGACTTATGCGATTTGCTTCCCTCATTCTTAGCTACTGTTCCTTCATAGAAGGCGCCATTCGCATAGATAATATGCCGAATTTACTAACCAAAATCGAAGTTGTAGTTTGCTTTTTGGTTAAAGCACCAGGTACACCACTGTTGCTATAACACGACTGGAGTGTTGGTAGTCATCTTTCTGTTGATAGAAACGGTAGTTGCTTCTGTTTAATGTCACTGATCATATCCGAGTCAACCCTCATTCGATTGACTCCTGTTGCGATAGACACACCTTCCCTTTTATTGCAAGTTTGTATGCTTCAGTCTGCGCTTCGCTGTTGCATTCCGTTTCATTGTGCGAGCAAATTTCGCTGTCTTTCTTTTAATGATTTACAGATTTTATTTCAAGATTTCGGGTAGTATATTCCTCACTTAAGCGCTTCTTCAGTCATCTGAATCTTTTCTTTGGCGAACTCCAGCAATTTATGTTGTTTGACGGTAAATGAGGAGCTCTCTTTTTAGTAGAATGAATAGTGTACAGCGATACGCAAAACGTTTTTGCTGAGCGATCGTTTATTTTATACTATATATATCTGTTTTCTGAGTCGCATCTCGCTGGCTTCCACGCTGGCCTTGCATTTACTTTCACTGGTCTTCGTTCCTCTACTCTGGGTCTTTCATTCAAAGGCGACAATTTCGTGACGGCGATATTGTTTGCCTCTGCGGGACGTCTATTTTTGTGCGTCCACTATTCGTCTATGTCCTTCGGCAGCTAAGTTGCGGTCTGCGGTCATGATACAGGCACACTCATTCTGATTCCCGGCGTTGCTGACTGGCGTTGTGCCTGACTTGTTCGTTCGATCGCCTAAACACCGCTCATCTGCCCGTGGGTCGTCCGTACCTCTGATTGGTTGTCCAGTGTATTAACCGCCATACGAAATGCTGGATCCTCCATTTGCTTGTTTGTCTCACAAACGTCCTGTGCTGGAGACTGGCAACTAGGCTTATCAACTTTCATCACAGTCTGTGTCTGCTTGGCTGCATAATGTGTCGGCCGCTCTCACAACAAAACCTGCCTGTGTTGTTGATCGAACGCTGAGCGTATCAACCTCTGTCACAGTGAGATTTGCGTTGCCAAATATGAATCTCGTTCAATAATCGACTAGCTTTCTTCTCTAAGCAAGGCATTCTTCTCAGGAACTGTCACAATCTTAAAATTGAACCGCCTCACTTGGTCAGATGAAAACCATTTTCTTTCACACATCTGTTATCATTCGTGGAGTTATTTGCAACTCTGTTCTTGTGGCTCCAACAACTATAGCTATGTAATAGGGAATAATGAGCAGTGTTAGATGGAAAAATGCGAATTGCCGTCTATACTGATTTTTTAAGGAGGACAGATGCTGTTTCGTCTACGAGTGAAGAGGTGGCGTTGGTTGTTCGCTTGATCAGTCTGCTGGGTTGTGACGTTTCACTCCAGATGTAGCGAATTACGACAATGCGGCCTCTGTGAAAGCGAGTAACCCTTACTCAATTTGAGATCCCCAACAGAGAAAAGGCATCGTGCGCATTCTTTAAAACCCCTTGTGTAGCTGCTACATGGGTCAGGAAGCAGAAAAGCTTGCTGCAAATTTACACTAACACACTGTCCTTTCGACCGCACAATCAGAAATCATGAACTTCCTTGTAGATGAATGCTGCGATTCAAACATTCGACTTGGATTTAATCTAAGGACAAGAAGTCAACGGACCACGAAATCCTTGAGATGGAGCTCATTCCATGTGCATTTATATATTTTAACGGCATACGAAGCGCTGTAAACAATTCTTCAATATTCCCTAGGTTAGCACGGCGAGAAACGCGACCACTCAGTCGTACATCAAAACTTGAAAACCCAGGTGTGACCACTGGAAAGTAAAGCGATGCAGGAACATTATAATCCGCAAAATGAAATTGCCAGTTTGAAGAGTAGCTGGAGCAAGAGTAGTCGTATCTTGGTAACATACATGGAGTATGCGTCTAACCGTCGGTATATACCATTTCTAGTATTTGAAGAGAAGGCTGAGAAGTTAGGGGCGAAGACGAACTGTTGGAACTTAAATGGTCCTGCGTATATGCTAAAATATAACACTGAACGACGCATAGCTAAGGAAGGATGTGTGAATCTACGCGATTGAGCGGCTTGTTGAACCTAATCCTGGCTCCGTATGTTCAGTTAATGTGTGTTAGGACAGGGAAACATATTCATCATAAATTTCAGGGTTCCGTAAACAATCTCCAAATGAACAATATGATTTTCTTAAATATACTGCACCATGTACTCAGACGAACAGAGGAAATCTCCAGATCGCTACAACACGTTCACAATCGGCCAACCCAAGAGAAAGACAATTTTCGCAGTAATGCATTTTGTGAAAGGAAATTATGAGTGATAAGCTTGTGTATATTTACTGCATCGGATTTCGAGCGATATGTAAGGTTACTTTCTTCTTATGTGCTGGATACGACGAAACTCTAAGCACCTTTCGACAAGTCATGAGAAGATTCCGGATATCTTTACACTTTTAATTTACATATACGGTTTCTGGTCGTACGTTAACACATCGCGTAGATTTACATAAACTCTGGGAGCGGTTGATCCCCGTGTAGTTGTGCATTAGTCGGTGCCATTGTCCCATGAGTTTATCACAATCTGTTTTACATACCCAAACGTGAATTCGCCCACTCCTTACTATTAAACAAAACGGTTTGTGGTTTCGAAAATGGAACTTAACCTGTTGCGACAATGCACTGCAAGGA